TTATTCATACTCTTTGGCAATTGGCCTGTTAAAGACCTTGGACTAATAATTACTGACCAAATAATAGTCTTCAGTAAGCTAGTTAACTTAAGATTTCATAAAGAGGTAAATTATTTTGGCTGAGTTATGTAGAAAATGCATGGAGTTGCATTTTCGGAGAGATCTTGACTTGACAGAAGACCTTACTTGGTAACCAGTGATAGAAACACCTAAGGGAGCTCATTGTGAAGACATTTTTGGCTCTCCCTGCAGTGTGCTGACTATATGCTATGTCTGCCTCTCTGATATAGTATCTTATTGTCATGTACACTCTTCACCCTGGAAGTTTATAATTGGTAGACATTTCGTTAAGATAAAGACGAATCACTTGAAAACAGCAGAGAGTATGATGGTGAGTGTTTTAAGAGTTAGAGACAAAGAAGAGTTTTGAACCTGCTATTCCTTTGCCCGCCTCCCCATCTGAGTAGAACATTGTAACTTTTGAAGCGAACTTAGAATGGATCATAACTAGCTTGCTGAGCTGGTACTTTATGCACAATTAAGCTTTGTTGGGACTTTCTTTATTTGTAATAGTGCTGTTACGGCGTGGGATGCTATTCAGCTCCAAACAACATTCCATTTAATAACTAGGGATTAGTTCACCCATTAAATCAGTGCCATCACTAACTGATAAGTATCGCCTTTTTCCTTGGCCCCACTTGGCTCTTCTGTTTAGTGAATGAAGCATGGCCATGTTATGGAACTTGAGAGGAGAAGGTTGGAGGAAGGATAGACTGAGCAATGATGACCAAAATTCCGTCTAGTCACAGAAATGGAAATTTGCCCTAGTCTTTTCCTTTCCTTAAACAGAAACTTTTACACTTTCCAGGCAGCAATTTAAGTGCCTTTAAAAACAAAACTAAACTGGGGCGCCTGGGTGGCTCAGTCGGTTGGCGGCCAACTTCAGCTCAGGTCCTGATCTCACAGTTCGTGGGTTCGAGCCTTGTGTTGGGCTCTGTGCTGACAGCTCAGAGCCTGGAGCCTGTTTCAGATTCTGTGTCTCCCTCTCTCTCTGACCCTCCCCTGCTCACACTGTCTCTCTCTCTCTCAGAAATAAATAAAACATTAAAAAAAAAAGTTTAAAATAAATAAATTAATTTAAATAAATTTTTAAGTAAAAAAAAAACATACTGAGCTGTTCTGTGCCAGGCACTGTTCCAGAATCCCATGCCCTCATGGTGCTTACACTCATGTGGAGAGAAATACACAAGAAACAAAGGTACATGGCATGAATACCGCAAGAAGTCCCATGGGGAAACTTCATATGCAGAAGGGGATAGGGAGTCCCTATCCATAAGTGGAGAACAGTGGAGGAGGGAGAAGGAGCTTTGCAAATTTAGACATGTCATCAAGGACAGTCTTATCGAGACGGGGATCTTTGAGAAAACCCACAGGAAGTGAGGGAGGATATCATTAGGATGTCTGGGAAGAGCATTCCAGGCAGAGGAGAGAGAGCACAGGCAAACGTCCTGAGGCAGGAGGGGGCCTGGTGTGTTGGAATAACACTGGCAGCAGGGGAAGAGGGAGGGAGGGGAGAATAATAGGTAGTGAGAGGTCACAGAAGCAATGCCGAGCCAAAGGGCATGGGACCTTTTAGGCCAGTGAGAAGCTAAGGCTTTGACCCTTAAGGAGATGGGAAGTCATTGGATGCTTAGAAAATCACTCTAGCAGCAGCTGCTGCTGTTGATAATGACAATAATAATGACGGTTGTGACGGGCTTTCTGGTTGTCACACTGGAGTTCTGCTTTTCTTCATTTAGGTCTGCCCAGCATCTAACTCTTCCTCTTGCAGCCGCCTGGTGGCTGCTCTGGGAGGTCCCCATTTTAATTAGCTTTGGGCTCTGATCTACTCCAAATGAAGTCTGAGACGTTCTGCAGATTGCCACATTCATTCAGTGACTGCTGGCCCCACTCTGCAGACCACTGATTCCTTTGCAAACTCTACATTCATCTCTATTTTATAAAGAAAAACTTTCTCTCTTTCTGGTTTTTAGCTGAAACAGGAACTGCTGGTACTTTCCGACTTCAGACCAAAATCTAGAACTTCCTGTGGTCCTGGCTGAGTGCCACTTCCCTTCTCCCATCTACCCCTTCAGCCCTTAACACAGACCAGCAGCGAAGCGCCCCTGACTGGGACCTTCTTATGGTCAGCTCCTGTCTCCTCCAGTCTGGGGCCTGCATTTCAATTTCAGGGTGTCCCCTACCACTTCCTCACCCCAAGGTCCCATGGGATCCAGCACCAACAAGCCCCTCTCCCTGTGGCACACACTTCACCATCTCCCTTCTTCTAGAATAGGTGTGTGGGACTGGATGAACCTTACACTGAAAAGAACGCAGCACCAAGTCAGGCACACTTGGGTTCAAATTTCAGCTCTGACCCAGTAAGTTTTGTGGCCTCAGGTAAGTCACTTCACCTGAGCGTGTCCTTTTTTTTTTTTTTTTTGAAGGGTGGGGCATAAGTGAGTGGGGGACACAGAGAGAGAGAGAGAAGGGGACTCACCCAATGCAGGGCTCGAGCTCACCCGAAGCAAAACTTGAGCTCACCTGATGTGGGACTCCAACTCACGAACTGACCTGAGCCCAAGTCAGATGCTTAACAACTGAGCCACCCAGACACCCCCAGCCTGTCGGCTCAAACCACTATTCTGCATTCAGAGCTGGGTCTCAATACTCCAACAGGCCATGAAAGACCCCCCTCAGTGCCCCAAGTCAGACCACACAATTCCTAGATTCCCTAGATTTCAGGCCAGGCAAAGAGAAATGGTCTTTACCTGCCCCACTCTGCCTTGTTCCCAACAGGCTCCAGCACCTGCAAGCAAGGTCCCTTAGCACAAGATCTAAGTCAATTCCCTGAAAAGAAGAGAAGCAAGATGATATTGTCATTGAGATGCTTGGTCCTCAAGCCACCCTGCCTCAGACACGTCTAAGAAAAGAAAGCACATGTGCCTGAGGTCTTGGGCCTCTGGTGTATCAGCAGCTAATCCAGCCCGAGGGCCGGCAGAGAGCCCTCCACAGGAAGCGAGGCGCTGGCCAGGCAATGGAAGGAGTGACAGGCAGACAAGCAAGGTGCCAGGGCCTGGGGGTCAGAGGGCACTGGCTTTCTAAGAGATGAATCTATTCTCAAGTCTCCAGATACCTGCTAACCCTGATGACAGACTCCTGAATCTGTACCCCACACACCTTGTCCTCTCCCCTAAATGCCAGATCTAGGCCTGTGGACATTTAACTTGGTATCACAAACTCGAAAGTGTTCAAAGCCACTCTTGGTGTTTTTCTCCCCCATCCTCCCACTTTCTTGGGTCAAACATCTGACCACAGAGTGTGTACATGTAATCACCCCACATGAGTTTCCAGGGGACTTGCTGCCAGATGACATCCCAGCTTCAAAGAGCCCCCAGTCCTCCGGGGCTAGGGCCGGCATGCCGGATGCAGAAGGCTGTGGAGTGCTGGGTGCAAATCAGCAAATGGGAGGAGGTGAAAGATGGTGGGCGAAGCTATGAACAATGAGAAGAATGAGGGAGTCAGGTGTCTGACAGGTGAGCCCTCCCAGGACGCCTCCTTAGAGTGTGCTAAACTCACCGAGGCCTAGTGTGAGTTGTGTTAATAAATTTTTGGTGGTTGTTATTGCTGTTCAAAAAAGTAAAAATAAAAAAGAATGTTAGATGTTGCAAGTCAGAGGCATCCCACTAGGAAACAGAGCCCCAGGGACACAAAAAGCCAGGAGTTAGCAGAAATCCCAGAGAGGCCCCGGAGACCTTCTCAGAAATGGGACAGTGGTGGGGGGCAGAAGGGACATTTGAGGGAATCTTATGAAGATCACAAGGCACACAAAGAACCCCAGATGATATCTGGTTCACATTAAGAAGTGAAGGAGCAGGACATAATAGTAGAAATAGGGTAATAATATTGGAAATGCTAGTAATAAGGGCACTACAGACAGGTCCAAAGTGTTTACAATCATCTAAAAGCAGCCTTGACACTCAGTAGAAGGTCCTACCAATTATTCTCGTGTGGATGTGTGTGTATATATGTTATACATCGGCATGAATATGTGTGTGCATGTGTATCAGTATATGTATCAGTATGTGTGTATGCATATACATGTATGCCCATTTATATGATACCTATCAGCATGTGTGTGTGTGTATGATACATATCAGTGTATACATATGTCTGCATGATATGTAGCAATATGTATACATGTGAATACACGTATATGCATATATCAGCACACATGTATGTATATAGATAGCAGTACATATTATATGGTGTGTATATTATATATCAATGTGTATGTGTATATACACATATATGTATATGAATATCGGCATATTAGTGTGTATATATCAGAGTATATGTGTGTATACGTGTATGTCAGCACATGTGATATATCAGTGTGTATGTATATCCATGTGTGTATAAATGGATATGTACACACATATATGTGTATCAGCATGTACGATAAATATTAGTGTGTGTGTAGATCAGTGTGTGTATATATATGGGTGTGTATAATGTATATGCATAGATGATATATATCAGTAGAATAATGTTTTCAACTTCTTTCCTTAGAAATATTTCTTCACTAAGGACTCCTGGGTGGCTCAGTCGGTTAAGCATCCAATTCTTGATTTTGGCTCAGGCCATGGTCTCACAGTTTGTGAGTTTAAGCTCCACATCAGTCTCAGAGCTGACTGCACAGAGCCTCGTTGGGATTCTCCCTCTCCCTCTCTCTCTGTCCTCCCTGGCTCCCTGTCTTTCAAAATAAATAAATAAACTTAATAAAAAAAGAAAAGAGCATGGAGAAGGGCACTTGTGGGGATGAGCACTGCGTGTTATATGGAAAGCAACTTGACAATAAACTATTTAAAAAAAAGAAAAGAAATACTTCTTCACGGAAATCTAAAATAGATGCAAACCATCAAAATTAAAATATGCAGTTTCTGGGGTTTCTCACTGACCTGGAGGATTCCTTCAAGTTCAAGGCTTAACTAGACTTTGCAGAGGGGTGGACTGGCAGGTGTTTCCCTCCGGTACAGATAGGACACCAAGCCCTCAGCCCCTGGCGGCAGAGGTCGGCAGTCTTTTCAGTTCCTGTGAAGGGAGAGGTGGGCTGAGGGCAAGGCTGGAAACACAGACTGGAAGCCAGCACCTAAGCCTCACCAGGGACCTGTGAGGTACGTGGTTTATAATCCCGTTCTGCAGATGAGAAAACAAGCCCAGAAGGCAAAGGGGCTTCCTACCTAAAGGCTGTTTGGGGAAGGGGGGGTGGGGGGGAGGATGTTTCCACTGAGGCACCAGCTCAGTGAGAGGAGGGACAGCCTGAGTTTGTCTTGTTCGGCAGCATCTCCAGAGCCTGGCACAGGAGCTCAAAAATACGTGTTGGAGGATGGATGGATGGATGGATGGATGGACTGGGTGTACCAACTACTCTGCCCTCCAAGCCTCAAACCAACTCTTTGGCCTCGAAGCCAGCAGGAGTCCGCTTTCCCTCCTCCCACCCCCTGCATCTCTCCGGCCCTATGACTAGCAAGTGCTCCACTCCAGCATTTCAAGTGTCCGCTTCAGTCTCTTCTCAGGTGCCAGAACCGAGATTCCGGGACATTTGCGATGACATGCTGCCACCTACAGGGAGTGCTGTGGTACTGCAGAGAGGAGCCCTGTTTGATTTAAATCACATCACATATTCTTATTCATGAAGAGAACTGAAGCCTGAAAAGGCACTTGGCAAGGACTTAGTAAAGCCTACGGTAAACTGGGGGCTGGTTTAGGCTTAGAATCCTCCTTCAAAGGAGAAAAACACTGGGCGATTTCAGGCACCCTGGGCCCAGAGAGGTTAGGTAGGGAGTGCAGACAGATCAGGTAAACAGGAAAGGGCTGGAGAGAGAGCGAGGGGGAGGAAGGCGTGTCCACCTAGGAGTCACTTATTTCACTTAAAAACAACCGGGCAAGGGGTGTGTTCAGTTAGCATTATTACTTTAAAAGGGGGAGGGGCGCCTGGGTGGCTCAGTCGGCCTCTGACTCCAGCTCATGTCATGATCTCATGGTTCGTGGTTCAAGCCCACATCAGGCCCTGTGCTGACAGCTCAGAGCCTGGAGCCTTGTTCAGATTCTGTATCTCCCTCTTTCTCTATCCCTCCACCACCTGCAGTCTGTATTTTCCTTCCTGTCTCAAAAATAAATAAACATGAAAAGAAGGAAGGGAGAGTCAGAGAAAGAAAGGGCACATCCCTGTGATGGAGAGTATGTCCAGGTCAGCCTGGATGGTGTGGCCACCTTGAAGGTGGAGTCCCATGACTAGCAAGCCCAGAACTGCAAAATGTCAGATAAGAGTCACTGGCCCCAAAGAAGGAATGCTGAACCCAAAGGCCACAGCGGTCCCCATTTCACAGGTGAGGAAACAGTCTCAGAGGAGTGTGATGTTGCTGGTCCCTGTAGGGTGCAAGAAAGAGAAACACTCTTGGGTTTCATCAGGAGACTGGGAAGACCAAAGTCTTAGCCACCCAACCAGGGCTCCTAGAGGCTGGAGCAGCTCTGGGTTACAGCAGGAGCTCTACTCATCTGACATTTTGCAGTTCTGGGCTTGCTAGTCATGGGACTCCACCTTCAAGGTGGCCACATCATCCAGGCTGACCTGGACACACTCTCCATCACATACCAACCATAATGGTATGAAAACAGAAATCAATAAAAGTGGGAAAGCTGAAAAATTAACAAATATGTGGAATTAAACAACACTCCTAAACAACCAATGGGTCAAAGAAGAAACTAAAAGGAAAATCAAAAAATATATTGAAACAAAGGTGCCTAATTGGCTCAATCAGTAGAGTAGGCTATTCTTGATCTTGGGGTCATGAGTTCAAGTACCACATTGGGCAAAGAGATTACTTTAAAATTTTTTTAATTAAAAATTAAAAAACAAAACAAAAACAAAAAACTAACCTTATGGGATGCCTGGCTGGCTCAGCCAGAGGAGTGTATCAATCCTGATCTTAAGGTTGTGAGTTGGAGGTAGAGATTATTTAAATAAACAAACAAACAAACCTACCTAAAAAAAGAAAAAGGAAAAAATATCATGAAACAAAAATGGAAATGCAACATACCAAAATTTATGGGACTCAACAAAACCAGTTCTGATTAAATGCCTACATTAAGAAAAAAGAACAACCTCAAATGAGTCTAAAACTCAAAGAACTAGAAAGAGAAGACTAAGTAAAAGCAAGAGAGAAATCAAATAAATAAAGTCTTAAATGAAAGAGATGATAACACAGAAATAGAAGGGATCAAAGAGACTACTATGAACATTTATATGCCAAAAAAAACAGGTAAACTAGAAGAAATAGATACATTCCTAGAAACACACAATCTACCACAACTGAACCATGAAGAAATAGAAAATCTGAACAGATTTTCTGACCAGTAATCAAAAATCTCTCAACAAAGAAAAGTCTAGGACCAGATGGTTTCAATAGTAAATGCTACCAAGAACTTAAAGAATTAACACCAATTCTCCTTAAACTCTTCCAAAAAATTGAAGAAAAGGAAATATTTCCAAAATTATTTTCAAGGCCAGCATGACGCTGATACCAAAACCAGACAAGGACACCACAAGAAAAGAAAATCACACACCAATATCCCTGATAAGAACAGATGCAAAAATCCACACTGAAATATAAGCAAATCAAATTCAACAGTACATTATAAGGATCATACACTATGATCAAGTGTGATGTATCCCAAGCCTGCAAGGATGGTTCAACATATACAGGTTAATAAATGAGACACACCAATGAAGGGGGAAAAAATCGTATGATCACCTCAATAGATGTATTAAAAGCATTCAACAACATTCAACATTTTTTCATGATAAAAACTCTCAAAAAATTGGTTGTAGAAGAAATGTACATCAACACAATAAAGGCTATATATGACAAGTCTATAGCTAATATAATCAAAAGCTTTTCCTCTAAGATTAGGAATAAGACAAGGATGCCACTCTCATGACTCCTATTCAATATAGTACTGGAAGTTGCAGCCAGAAAAATAAGACAAGAAGAAAGAAAAGCCATCCAAACCAGAAAAAAAATTAAATTGTCTCTGTCTGCAGACAGCATGATATTATATATAGAAAACCCTAAGGACCCCACCAAAAACCTGTAAGAACTAATAATAAATTCAGTAAAATTGCAGGATACAAAACCAATATAAAAAATCAAGTGCATTCTATACACTAACAACAAACTATCTGAAAGAGAAATTAAGAAAACAATCTCATTTACAATAGCATCAAAATAATAAATTACTTAGGAATATATTTAACCAAGGAAGTGAAAAACGAGTTCATGGAAAATTATAAGACGATGAAAGAAACTGAAGGAGACACAAATAAATGGAAAGGTATCCCATGCTCATGGACTGGAAGATTTAATATTGTCAAAATGTCCATACTACCCAAAGATATCTACAGATTTGATGCAATCTCTATCAAAACTCCAAAGACATTTTTCAAATAAAGAAAAAAGAATACTCAAATTTGTACAGAACCATAGAAGATCCTAAAGAGCCAAAGCAATTTTAAGAAAGAACAAAGCTGGAGGCATCACACTTCCCAATTTCAAACTCTATTGCAAAGCTATCAAAATAGTATGGTACTGGCATTAAAACAAACATAAGACCAATGGAAAAGAATAAAGAATCCACATATACAGGAACTAATCTTTGACAATGGTGCCAAGAACACACAATGGGAGAGGTTTGGGGAAATAAATGGTTTTGAGAAAACTGGGTAGCTAAATACAGAAGAATGAAACTGGACTCTTCTACTACTCACAAAAATTAACTTCAAATGGATTAAAGACTTAAATGTAAGCCTTAAAACTGTAAAACTCCTTGATAAAAACATACCAAAAAATCTCCTTGACATTAGTCTTGGCAGTGGTTTTTTTCTTTGGCTAGGACACCAAAGGCACAGTCATAAAAGCAAAAAGAAACAAGTGGGACTACATCAAACTAACCAAATCCTACAGAGCAAAGGAAACAATCAACAAAATAAAAAGGCAATCTAAAGAATGGGGGAAAATATTTGCAAACTACTCTATCTGATAAGGGGTTAACATCTAAAATATATAAGGAGCTCATAAACTCAAGAGGGAAAAAAACAATCTGATTTTATTTAAATGGGAAAAGGATCTATACGGACTTTTTTTTTTACAGAGAGACATTTTTCAAAGGAGACATACAAATAGCCAACAGGTATGTAAAAATGTGTTCACTATCACATTCACTCATCACAGGAAACTGCAAATCACAGGAAACTGCAAATCAAAACCACAGTGAGGTATCACCTCATACCTGTCAGAATGGCTGTTGTTATCAAAAAGAGAAAAGCGGACAAATATTGCTGATGACAAGGAGGAAAGGGTAACCTTGCACACTATTAGCAAGACTGAAACTAGTACAATCAGGAAAATGGTATGGAGGTTCCTCAAAAACTTAAAAGTAGATCTACCATATGATCTGGCAATCCCACTTCTGGGTATATATCCAAAGGAAAGGAAATCATTATCTGGAAAAGGTATCTACACTCCCATGTTCACTGCACCATTATTCTCAATAGCCAAGATATGGAAACAACTTAAGTGTCCATCAACAGATGAATGGATTTTAAAAATGCAATATGTACATACATATAATGGAATATAATTCAGCCATTAAAAAGAAGAAAACCCTGGGGCGCTTGGGTGGCTCAGTCGGTTAAGTGTCTGACTTTGGCTCAGGTCATGATCTCGCAGTTTGAAGGTTCGAGCCCCGAGTCAGGCTCTGTGCTGACAGCTCAGAGCCTGGAGCCTGTTTCGGATTCTGTGTCTCCCTCCCTCTGACCCTCCCCTGCTCACGCTGTCTCTCTCTCTCTCAGAAGTAAATAAAACATTAAAAATTTAAAAAAAAAAAAAAAAAGAAGAAGAAGAAGAAGAAAACCCTGTCATGGGCAACAGCATGCATAAACCTGCAGAGCATTATGGTAAGTGAATAAGCCAAACAGAGAAAGATAAATTCTGTATGGTATCACTTATATGTGAA